TCTTCTACATGCTCCACGAGTGGAGATATTGCGACGCAAACATAGTTGTATACTTCGGGGGACGCGGTTAGGTCTCGAATTAAAGTTCTGTTGACTCCCTCGAAGCCATGAATAATGATGGCAGCTTTGCTAAAACCCCGCGCTCACCCAAATATTAATAATTTGAATCTGTTATTCAAGAGCCATTGAAATCTCAATCATTAAAAAGGGGCGACGCCTTTTCCTTCGCTGCTTGCAGCGATGAGGAAGGTTAAGGGGGAGGGGGGGGGGGAGAAGACGCGCAACGCCGGAAATACTCGGGATGTCGTTCCCGAGGAAAAAGTTTGCGCATCCCAGTGTGGTTTTTTGCGGCGTCTGGACATAATAAAATAACGGGCACAGGGGCGTATAACGAATTGAATTTCTGCAGGAATGACCCGAGGCGCGCGCCGCAGAAGGGTGTATTCGGACAGAAATATGCATACGTATATACGTACACAGCCCCGTGTGCGAAGTTATAATAAATTCAAAGCGAACGAGGACACAGTGGCGGGCGGGCGCGGCTCTCGGGTTACGTCTGGATTTCGCATGGAATATTCCGCACGCGGATTCAAAACCCTCGGTTTGTGCTAAAAGTGTCTAAAAGCCGGCCGCTAAAGTACGGAGGCCCGGCCAGGTGATTCCAAGTCGCGCGAGAATATATGGACAAAGCGCGGGGATACTTCCATTACACGACTTTTCTCGAGTTTCTTAGGAGAACGGCCTCTCGCGGGGCTCGCAGTTTTTCCCCCCACGTCCATTCTATTTCCAATTGCATTGTCTGTTATCCTTTAATTTCACTTCCGCACTTGGCTACCACGTTTTAATACGCGTTCGTCATACTTTGATATCTCTCCGCCATACCGATCTCATTTGCGTAATAATATTGACTTCGCCAGTTTTTAATTTCGAGAGAGGAAGTTCCAACGAGTATCCTCAATAGCTTTCCCGTCTCTCCATTATATTAAATTAATTTTTTTTGTAGCAAATGTTTATCTCGTATCAATCTTATTTTGATTATACCAAAAATTTGTTTTGCTAATTATTTTATACATAAACTATGACGACGATCCGTTAGGTACTTCTTTTATTTACTCTTTTTTTCCTCTATGTGCATTCGGAGATGTGCCTGCTCTGTGATGCAACGTCGTTTTTACCTAGCGTTGATGAGAATCGATGTTTTTTAACGGTAATTTATGCTAAAAGCGCGATAAATATCTCGCGACCAAGAGGCTTATTTTTCGCGCGTTATTGCTTCGCACACACAATAACTAATGGACCACTTTTATTCATCTCGTCAAATAGATAGCGCGGCATCGCTGTCGCGTAAGAAACCGCGATGTTAATGTGACCTTAAACCCAGCCAATACCGACGCGCGCGTAGCGAAGAAAACGCGTTTTGCACAGGTCCTTTTTGATATGATAATATTGAAAAAGGATGAAGTTCACTTTCGTAGAAAATATTAACATAAGTTTTGATACACGAGGCGAAAAAGCGGAATCATTCGTCATCTTGATCCTCTCCGATGAATATAGCAAACCAGCAAGGAAACCTTGGGCAATTTAACCGGCTTTCCGAATGAATTTGTATTATGAAAATGACGCAACGGCGATGTATTATTAAACCATTTTTATATTAATTCTAAATTAATAAAATATAATATAAATAAATGATAGATATAAATAATAGGCTCCAATTAAAAAAACAAATTAAAGGTAAAATTAAAGGCAATGTGAGCCGTCACCTGCTCGCCGGTGTTAAATTAAAAGTCTACGTCAATTTTTGTAGAAAAGTATATTATAAATAATAACATTTTAAAAACTAATAATATGACGCATGGTACGTTTCGGTCATCGCATGTGACCCTCTTCAGCAATAGTAATAAATAAGCGAAACATGTTGGTTATACACGACGTTAAAACAAGGTACAGAGCAATTATGCTAAGTCATTATATGTAAAATTGGTGAAAGATGAAATAAAACCTATCTTGTCGGTGTGTTCGAAAGTACGCATGTAGGCTAGTCAGTGACATGGTCACTATGGGACATGACACATGGGATTAGCCTACATGCGTACTTTCGAACACACTGACAAGATAAGGTTTTATTTCATCTTTCACCAATTTTACATATAATGACTTAGCATAATTGCTCTGTACCTTGTTTTAACGTCGTGTATAACCAACATGTTTCGCTTATTTATTACTATTGCTAAAGAGGGTCACATGCGATGACCGAATCGTACCATGCGTCATATTATTAGTTTTTAAAATGTTATTATTTATAATATACTTTTCTACAAAAATTGACGTAGACTTTTAATTTAACACCGGCGAGCAGGTGACGGCTCACATTGCCTTTAATTTTACCTTTAATTTGTTAATTCTAAATTGTTTATGTTTTGTACAATCGCGAAGCATTAATGATATAGAGCACCCATTCGCTCAGCGGGTAGATTTCTCTTTAAGAATTTAAAAGGAGCGGATTTTTTACTCGTACCATTAGCGTGAATAAGTAACTCGTTTTTCTTTTCGCGAAGCAGCTGAAAACATTGGCGAATCGTATCCTTTGCAAATCGACATTATTTGCATACACGTTATTCCATCTCTCCCGTAAAATATAATGTATGTATTGATGTCACTGTAAATCTGCAATAAATTATGAATTGATTTCATACATATATAAGCGCCCAATAATGTAACGCTAATAATGTAATACCGGTGTTACCGCAAGATATCGGTGTATTTAAAGTTGACATCTCACTTATTTACGTAACGTGTCGAAAGGTACCGCCGATGATCACGTTGGTTTCGACGTCGTTTTCAATCCCACCGAATAATTTTCCACTTTTAACGATTATATTCCATCTTCGCGTGCGCGAACATTGATTTCCGCGTTTGTTCCGCGGATGTACGGGATGTATTAATTTGAATAACGCTATCGGATGAATTAATAATAAACAATTAGGTTAATTAGATCTCCAGATTGCCAGGAAATGCGAATTGTTAATATAATAATTTTGCTTGCATTATAATTATTAGTTATATTGTGGTTTACTTGTAATCGCGTAAAATAAAAATTAATTTAGACACTCAACCGCGCTTTAACTATTTCATCACGTCTGTACAAAGACGACGCCGTTTAAAAAATGAAAAAGGATAGGATTAACGCTTCCAGCGTTTTGACAGTTGCGCGCATTGTAATTACGCCCCGTTGATGGTATTGCAAATTTTATAGAGTATTTTTTTGCCCATGCGGGCGACGGTCATCTCCGCGATTGTTCTTTGCGAGTAACACGATTTAGCACATGAGTTCGTTCCGAAGCGCTGCTAGTCATTCTCGATGCTGCAATTTATTAATGATGTTAATTCTAGGCGGAACAAAGGAAATATCTCGCTGGCGGCTATCGATATTGCGTTTGTAAAATATGGATTACGCGGGAGATGTCCGTAACAGGTGCACACGGCCGGCCTCTCTCGATTTAATAATACAATATTCCATGTCCTATTGTATGCACGATCGGATAAATTTATTACGAGTCATAAAATCCTAAGCGACAAACAGGGCACGCGCATAGCTGAAAGCTTATATAAATTATTACAACATATGTAAAAGTTGCGAATTGTTTTTAACTGCCGTCGCCTTCCCTGTGTGTGGCTCAGTCAATGGCGACGTTCGCAATAAGTAAAATAATGTGAAACCTAATATGCAATTTTTTCACTATTAACAAAGCGAATGCAAATTTTCGTTAATTCGCTAAAAGCCACGTCCGGGATGCGCCGTACGGGTCCAGATCAGTTCGCGCCAACGAGAGTTTTAATTTTCGATTTTAATAAAAGTTAAATCGAAAATTAAATTCCTAAAACTGTACTGATTTAATTTAACGTCCATATTTTATATTAATTAAATTGTTGTTATCGTCGTATAATTATAGTTATTTTTGTTGTTTCGTTACGTAACTCCTGCATGTGAGCTTTCGGTGAAATATTCCGCAATCTCGCGTTGCATTCTGCCGCTAATTGTTTCGGCCGGCAACACGCACCTTCGGGAGAACGCATCATCGGTCTGCAGCGCAGTCCGTCACGCAATCCTTATGCAGTTTGCGCAACGCACGCGCTAATCCGCGTGGGATTCGTGATTTTTCTCGCGCGGCGGGTCACGCTGTTTTCGCGCGGCTACCGAAACGGAAGCAATAATAATTCGCTCGCGGCCAGCGACGGAGTTAACGAGGTACGAGCATACCGCCCGTTAACTTAACGCCGGCCAAATATTATTTTTGCAATTCCCGCTGAATCCCACTAACGAGCGCGCGTTCGTACAAAAGCGCTGACGTTCTGATCCTCTCTCTTTTTCTACCTGTATCTAATGTCGTACGCAAAATTCTCTCAATGACGCGGGCTCGCGTTAATCCATCGTTTCGTGATTTTTGTAAACGGTAAGTGGTCCCGGGGACTCTCCCGGAGGAAACCCGACGGGGAATTCCCCGGGAACGAGATTACCGTGGCAAGCGGGGAGTAATTTTTTCCAGCTGATATCCGGCTAGGGTCGAAAACTTTCACGACAAAATACAAATGGGATTAAAGTCAAGCGTTCGAGCATAGTGTAACTAGTATGCCCACTCTCTGTCGGTCCTTTGATCTTTTCGGTTTTCGATCACGTGGTACTCCGCCATGTTTTTGGTACAAGTCTCATTGGCACCACCAAGAAATGACGGATGCGCAGAAGAGATCGACGCAAAACAAAACTAATGACAGAGTCGGGCATACGTTATATTATGGTTTGAGCCCAAGTTTTTGGAAATGAGCTTCGAATCAATTGAGGAATCCCTCATCTAGTGATATTTACACGACGTAGAGTGATTTGCAGAAACGCCAGACGAATATTTGCATATCTATGACGCACGTCTTTTCCTTTCGTCCTCCTCGCGTCGTAGTTGCGTGGAAAGGTTTGAGGAGGGAGAAGAGGAGAGGAGAGGGCCGTAAGGCCGATTCGACGAATTCGGGGTCCAGTTAAAGCCGGCGGCCGGCTATAAAACAGTTGACCGACACTGTCGCCGACATCAGTGGTGTAACTTTGCTCGAACATGAAGGTAAGCGTAACTCTTTTCTTCCTCGCTCGCTCTTTTCGTTTCCCGCTCGCTTTTTCGGCTCCCTCCCATTATCTTCTTGCAGCCCCTCTCGTATATCGCCCTCGGAGATCCTTCCCTCAGCCTTTCGTGAAATCCTTCGCTTAGCCATTCGTCGTTTTTTTATCTCCTTCCGTGTATCCTCTCGTATTCTCGGGAGGCAACTTGTTAATTTGTGAATGTAATTTTATCACGTTTTTGCGAAGATGACGATGATACGTGACGCGGACCGGGTGATTCGGTCGTTCCTCTCTTTTAAAAGCGTCCTGAAACTATCGCGCGCTGTGAATTGAGCCAACGACAATTTCAAATAATTCAGTAATATTGTTCTTTTTTTCGATGTCATCTATCTCTCTTGATTATAGACATTTAAATTTTAAAATAATACACGTCCCCGTTCTCTTATTATATAATCCTTGATTTCTCAACTTTTTAAATATTCCGCTCCTTTTTTTTCCTACCACGTGGGAATCGCATAGACGTTAATTGCCGCCTTTTATTCAGCGAAAATCCGATCCTGAGAGACCGAAAGTGAATAATGCAGTGCAAGTTCTTCTCGGTGCATCGAGGCTGTTTCACGTCGTTAACGACCTCGGAGACCGTTTAAGGATCTCCTACGGTGATTCAATGTCTGTCTCCTCGTACGTCCTCGCAAAAATTCACCGTTAATCCGCCGCTAAACGCGCGCGGATTTTTTTGCGACCGCGCCGGCAGCGCGAGCTCTTAAATCGCGGGCGAGGCTCGGGTCGAGACGAGGTAGAATTTCTTTACGAGAGTGAAAGGCGTCGCAGGAAATGTTGTCCGTGGTAATGGTGACGATTGCGTAACGTTTACGAAGGCGTGCTAGTTGTTGCTTAATAATATTATTTTCCTTCCCACGCTATCATCTAGCTAGAACGACGTGTCTTTGTCCCGGTCTTGTCCCGAAACGAGTTTTAATTTCTACTTAACGAGGCACGCTGCCAAGCGAGTAATTTGCCGATGCCAGTTATAAATAATCGCGAAACTTTTCAACGTATATGTATAAATCAAGTGAAATTAAACGACTCTTACGGCATTAGCTTGTCAAGTTTCCCGATTTGTCAGGGGAGTCTTAATGAACGCGCAACCCAATCGGACGTCTTATATCCATGTATATTAAATACCGCTGCGTTCTCTTCGCTTAAAGAGCGAAATATCTCTGGGCGAGCCCACAGGATAACATCATTTCGGTCGCCGCCCTTTGCGCGCTTTACCTTCGCCAAAGTATAGTGGGTATCGCATGTATATTGCGCAGGTATCCTCCTCGGAGAAAGAGAGAGAGAGAGGTAGAGAGATAGAGAGAGGTCCATTCTATACTAATTAACATCCTAACTAACTCTCCGGTATTAACCCGTTATGTACTAGCGTAACCATCTGGTCGTGGTCTTCAGAGGAGGGTGAGAGATCCCCTCGCTTTTGAGTTTGAACCAGCTTGTCGAAAGTGTTGCGGTTCGCATTTTCGACGAATTAAACCGCGAATTTTAAGGAAGGCTCAAGTCCGCGACGGAATATTAAATCCTCGTGACGGTGACTTGTAAAAATTGCTCGAGATCCTTTTATGTCAACTTTACCGAGATTAAATATCGCACGCACAGCTAAATTCCTTTTTCTCGTTTCTCCGCTTCGAATAGACCAGAATGAATTTTTTAATTCTCAATTTAGAGCAATCGATTTCTCCTTTTTTTATTTTACGCGTTGAAAATTTATTTCAACTACCACCGGGTTAAATTGGGTAACATGGCCGCTAAACTGATATCTCGAAATTGGAGCAGTCAATGTCGTTTTATGACTTGAAGCTAAAAGAACGAATGTACACGTGCATATGCGAGATGCTTTTTTTTTCATTTTTCGCAGCGTGACGTTGATCGCTCGAATTTCTTTTCGCGCGATATTCGTCCAGATAATAGCTCGAACGCGCTGGTTGACGACTAATTCAGATAAGACACCAGTACAAACTTACTATGTTAATGAGATTTCTGAAAATCTATCGTCTGCGAAAAAGACGATGAATATTTCGCGAATACTCGGTTAGTTTTTATTCTGTACTCTGACAGAAAGAAATGGGTGCATTTACCACAATCTGACTATACTTTGTAGTCATTTTAGGAGCCAATCACGTTTTTATAATTCTTCCAACTACACAAGTTACGGATGACCTAACAATGTATTATAGTTCTCATAGACACAATATTGGTCCGTGCAACTTATGATATGGTTGTCATAAATTGAAACGAGCTTTTAATTTGGTAAGGTATGCTATAAATATTACAATAACAACCACAAGTAGAATTTCGAATAACTATATGTAGTAGTAATAATCGTATTTATATTGGAAATAATATATTTATATTGGAAATAATATAATATTCCCCGCTTTTTATTTTACAGGGTGTACTATAACCACCAGAGATCCTTTTAATAACAGATTCTTTAGAAAATTTCAAGACGAAAATTCTAATACAAAAATATTGAGGCTATAATAGTTTTTAAATAATAAGCAAGTACATTTCACCAATGATAGGCCTGAGATTTCGCGCGCTCAGGCACGGCGACATGACGAGTGATAAAAGTGTTCATATGAATGTCGCCTTTTTTGGCATAGTAATGACCTTCATGATAATTGATATTGATCGTTCACTTTGACAGCTGCAACACTTAAAAGTTACAACACGGTGCAAATTTTTTCTTGAATTAAATAAGAAGGGCGACACATTCATAGGAACACTTGTCATATCGCCGTGCCTGAGCGCGCGAAATCTCAGGCCTGTCATTGGTGAAATGTACTCGCTTATTACTTGAAAACTATTATAGCCTCGACATTTTTGCATTAGAATTTTTGTCTTGAAATTTCCTAACGAATCTGCGATTAAAAGGATATCCGGTGGTTCTAGTACACCCTGTATATACATTGCGTTCACTATGTTCATTGGTTACATCACTTTGCACTCGTAAAGAATAGTACAAGAAAGCATCTTTCAAAGAAAAGATAAGTAATTTTACACGAATGTATAAACTTATCCGTATTTATAACACTCTATGCGGTTTTCTTCTTACGAGAAAGTCTTGTACCGCGCGTTCCTCTAGTGAGAACATTCCGTACCACTTCACTTTTGTTTACCATGTGATTAGTAAGGCGGATGATAAAAATGTAGTTAAATTTACTGTCATTGTGATTGTATTTACTATATAAAAATAGTTAACTAATTTACTATTTATTTACCTGAATATTTTAACAAAATAATACTTAAAAGCTTACCCATATAGCACAGAAAGTTAAAATAATGTTGCTGAAACGTTGCAATGTTGAATGTTGTAGTATAAATATCTTTTCTACGTTGAATCTAGGTTAATGTTTGTACATTAATTCTTTATATTGTTGCAACGTTAAAACAATCTTGAACAAATTATTATTTTTTGACAATCAAATAGATACTTAAAAAAATTTATAATTATGAAATGTATATATTATATATGTACAATATTTTTGCAACGGTCAGAAATTTTCTGAGCTAAGATTGGATTAGAGGAATAATTCAATTTCAGCACTTCCAACAGTTGTAAAAAATATTCTGCTAAACGCGACCAGTGTTAACTTAATATAATTTAACAATGTTCTCTGAATGTTGAATTGTAACGTTTACAAGACATTACACAATTCAGCGGCCATTAGACGTTTTTGCAATATCTTTTCAACGTTGAATTTACATTTCGTAACATTGATGTAATATTGCAATGTTGTAATGGAACGTTTCTGAGTCGTTGATTCAACATTTGTGTGCTGTATGGGATTATATGTCATAGTAAACTTTTTATATAATTGGCATTACTGTGTCTATATGTTTGCTATTACTAATATTATAGTATAATTACTATAAAAATGATATTCCCGACTATAATTATTTTACTGTGCAATTATAGTTTCAAATATTACATATTTTTCCATCAGTGTAGAAATGTGTTTTAATGTTCCACGGGGAACGTGATAAAAGCGTCTCTTAACGTAATCGCGTTTGAGAAATCGTTTGACACATTCCGTATAATTGAATTGATTTCAAAACAGGGCCCGACCCGCGCTGCGTGCCACCGGCCGTCCACTCTGTCTTTATCTACTAATGAGGCGTGCAACGTGCAACGTGCATGCACGCTCGGTTCGCTGCCCTGTTTTCCGTGAGCCTGCAGGGGGTCTTGCGCAGACTTCTATTCTCGATTTCGGGCCCAGAGGAATTTCGCATAGAGCACGGGCGCACACACGAGCGGGTACATAATACGCGTAACACGTACGCATACGCTTGTTGATATTCATATCACGCGCTAAACGCACGCCCGCATGCGATTCTGCGTTTCGGCAGCCCGTGATTATGAACGCAGCCGGCTCGGCGCGGCAAACATTTAGCCACGTCGTGCACGCGCGACGTTTAGCCCCGGCGAGCCGAGGGCCATTCTGAATTCTGACACTTTGTGCGCTTTGCCGGCCGATGTATTTATGACGAAGTTGCGTGTGCGAATCGGTCTTGCGGATTTTAGCCCGGGAATCCCCGCGGGAGCCGCAAACGGCAGCGCGCGACTTCCGTACCTCATTCAGGCCCTCACGCTTTTATATACATATGTACTGTATATGGCGCGAAACGCGTCCAGTGTATGTACATCGGGATTATACACTTTTCGGATATACTCTTTCGTATCTCAAGAAATTTTCTAATGCACCGTTCCAGGTCCTGGCTCTGTTCCTGCTCGCGGTAGCGGTGGTTTTGGCAGAGGACAAGTATACGACCAAGTACGACAATGTTGACCTGGACACGATTTTAGCGAGCGACCGTCTGCTCAAGAACTACGTAAACTGCTTGCTGGATAAGGGCAGCTGCACGCCCGACGGCAAGGAGCTTAAAGGTGAGCCTTTCGAGATTTTACTAATTATTGCCATTGTGATTTCGTTATCTCGCTCGTTTTCGCCCAAACGCTAACGCTGGCACTTGAGTCAACCATAATTCTCGCAATGCAACAACAAAGACGTAGAAATAAAGATACAAGAGTAAATCCGAATAAGAGCGTCCGCGGTTACGTGTCCTTGCATTTGGCACCTTTCAAGATTTTACTCATTATTGCTACGATAATTTCGTTATCTTGCTCGTTTTCAGCCAGACGCTAACACTTTAATCAAACA